CTCGACTACCCCTGTTTAGGCCTGGGCAACCTTGCAGTATCCCAGCCCTCGTGCTTCCTTCGGGTAGCATGACAGCTGAGTGCGAAAGAATGGGTATACTTGTTGGTAAAAAACAATGCTTGGGGCCAACTCAGGTTCTTCAGCCCCAACCCACCCCTCAAATCAGTTGACCTTGCAGCTTGCATTAACCTTGGATTTCGTTGTTTCACGTTCCAGAATACTTCAAAAACGCACTGTTTTTTATTGTTATTAAAACGACGTGACCAACTTTATCGGGAAATTGATCGCACGATCAATATGTGACCACAATATGATCCGCCTGCAACCATTATGTGGGACGGGTCCGCGTGGTTATCTTGAGGCCCATGCTGTCACAAGTTGCGGTAGTTCCCAGGTGGGGAAATAGTTCGAAAGTGTTAGAGGTCACGGATTCGAAGACACCAACTACCGGAACATGGGAGCTAAAGCTACCCTGAAATCGTCCTCACCAATTTTGCGTTACTTTCCAGGATACACCCCCTAGACAGTTCATGATTTTGTTCCATGAAGAACCTAAGGAAACCTAACAGGGACTAAGACCATGACCTCCGTGATCAGGAGGGAAGTGCAGACGCCGAATGGGAGTGGTGAACCAGGTAAGGTTTGACAGCAGGCCGATCGATTAGTTACTTGAAATCTGGTTTGAACCAATTGTTTTGTCTTTTTATCCCTCGGCAGATGTTGAGCCTAGTCCCAAGTTGGAAGGGACGATCTGAGTAGCTCCTTCCCAGTGCCAGTGTCTTGGCTGCTAGGCTCCGGACACGCTACAGCTGACCCACGCAGAATGTTAATGTACCACGTAATGAACGGTGGAGACGGAGTCATTCTCGTCAGTAATGCATCAGCGGTAGACACGGATGCTCAACTGTCCCACTGCAATGAAGACAGAACAACTTGTTAATTACTTGGTGTCCCCAAGCATAAGTTGCTCACACCTTCGAACGGGAATGGAATAGACGTATCTGGACACCGCTGCAGAATAGGATGCCATCCGAGCGCTGGGTCACCAGTCTATTCGAGTCTCCGGCCCAGTGACATGCGTAGTTTCCCATTAGAAAATTGCATCGTGTCCTCTACGTTACCCTTTTACGTCCTCTACTGATTGAACAACATGTGTACACAGTTTTCAAGACGAACGTTGAAAGTCTATCCGAAAAGTTCTGCAGAGGTTCGGGCATTGGCCGCAGTGTTAATCACTGGGCCACCCGATCAACATGCTTGTCATTAAGTTCTCTTGCATGTACCAGTCACGGGACACCGACCTACAAACTGTTGGGATTTCGAGTCGGGAGATACAGTCCACTTCACAGCTGTTTATGGCGAAGGGGTGGGAATCGTCAAGCGCCCTTGTGTCAATTGAATAAAAGGTGTGGAACTGGGTGTCGCGGTTTTAGATCAACCAGGCTGACCGGAAAGTTCGAGTCGGACGTCAGCATCTCGTCTTCCTCTGTCTAGGCTTTGGCAACCTGGCAGTATCCCAGCCCTTGTGTTTCCTTCGGGTGGCATGACAGTTTGGCACCGGAAGGGTGCTACAGCTGAAAATTTTTAAATCTAAATGGGCTGACAAGTACCAAAGTGTTTGTCACTGAAAAGGAATTATCAAGAGAGGTGGTGGCTTAGATCTGAAACACAGCCCAAGCTGACCAAAAACCCACTTAGTTTCAGCCCGCCAACCAGACTGTTGCACCGCCAACTCACAGGCGGAAGATGAAGGGTCCAAACCCGAGTAAAATTATCCCAACAAGTTGGTCGGAAGACGTAGGAACTAGCAATAATCTAGAGGAAATTTCAACCGACATTGAACACTAGGTTAGTATGGCATATATTTCGTTGTTTCCCTCTTCGCTTTCGTCCAAACTCGGGAAACATGGTAACATATCCCCCTGGCGCGACTAAGATTTTCGGGCGAAACGTTGTCCCTGAATACATCCATCGATTATTTGCCAAAGCTTTCTTAAATGATGGTCTATCGACCGAACCCAAGCT